GGTTCCCTCGGAAGGCGCTGTTGGGGTTGTGGCGGGTGAAGAGCTCGAAGACGATGGTCTTCAGCGCGTGGTCCTCGGTGACCCGGTTCAGCGCGAACACGTCGAAGCACCACAGGTCCAGGCTCTGCCGGGACACGGGGCGGCAGCTGCCCCGGTGCCCGGTGGTGCCCGGTGGTGCCCCGTGACACCAGCAACACCCGGCGGGGCCCACAGACACCCGGTGGTACCCGGCGATGCCCAGGACACCCAGTGATGCCCGGCAATGCACAGAGAGAGACGGTGGTACCCAGGGATGCCCAGGACATACGCTGATGCTCAGGGCACCCGGTTGTACCCAGAGACACCCACTGGTACCCAGTGATGCCCAGGACACCCAGTCATGCCCATAGGCACCTGGTGACACCCAATGATGCCCAGGTCACCCAGCAACACCTAGTGATGCTCGGAAAGACCGGCTGATGCCAGCAATGCCCAGAGATATGGAGTGCCAGCCAGAGATACCCAGCAAAGCCCAGCAATGCCCAGGCCCGGCACGTCCCAGAGGTTCCCAGTCATGCCCAGTAACACCAAGTAATGCCCAGCAAAATCCAGGGATGCCCAGTGATGCCCAGAGATGCCCGGCAAAGCCCAGTATTTCCCAGAAATGCCTAGAGATGCCCAGCAAGCCCCAGCAAAGCCTGGCAATGCCCAGCAATGCTGAATGGTGCCCAGAAATGCCCAGGGATGCCCAGTGATGCCCTGCAGTGCCCAGTGGTTCCCAGCGATGCCCAGTGGTTTCCAGTGATGCCCAGTGGATCCCAGTGATGCCCATAAGCCCCAGCTGTGCCCAGCAATGCCCGGGGGGCCGTGAGGCCCCGGTACCTTCAGGCAGCTGAGGACGGAGGCCGAGTAGCTGGGCCCGACGGCCGTGTACGTGCGGCGGAACATCCTGCAAGGGGCCATGTGGGGACCACGTGGGTGCTGGGGACAACCTGGGGTGCTGGGGAGCAGCCATGGGTGCTGGGGACCAACCAGGGTGTTGGGGACCAGCCCTGGGTGCTAGGGAGCATCCCGCAGTGCTGGGGACAAACCCTGGGTACTGGGGACCAACCAGGGTGTTGGGGACCAGCCCTGGGTGCTAGGGAGCATCCCTAGGTGTTGGGGACCATCCTGCAGTGCTAGGGACCAGCCAGGGTGTTGGGGACCAGCCCTGGATGCTGAGGACCTGCCCTGGGTGCTGGGGACAAACCCTGGATGCTGGGGACCAACCAGGGTGTTGTGGACCAGCCCTGGGTGCTGGGGACTGACTGGGGAGTTGAGGACCAGCCCTGGATGCCAGGGGACATTGGGATGCTGGAGGGGGCAGCCCCAGGGTCCTGGGGTCACCTGGGTGCTGGGGGACACTTGGCCACACAGGGACCCACGCCAGGTACCACCCCTGGAGGGGACACAAGCAGGTGCCAGAACAAGGACACCCCTGGGTGCCAAGGGACCTTTGGGCACCTTTGGGTGGCAGGACCCCCCCGTCCCGCAGCGGGGCCGTCACCTCTCCACGAAGATGCCGGCCTGCACGGCGTGCACGATGCTGCGGAACTTGGGCTTCTCCTCGGCGCGGCGGCCCTTGGCGCGCGCCTGCTGCGTGAAGGTGGCGGCCAGACAGTCCCGCACCTCGGAGGGCACCGCGTCC